TAGTGAGTTCCAGTTCAGTCTCAACTACATAGTGAGATCCTGTCACCTAAAAAAAAAAAAAAAAAAAAAAAAAAATGATGCTGGGAAAACTGGCTCTCCACATGTCAAAGATTGAATCTAGAGCCATATGTTCCACCATGTACTAAGCTAAAATAAAAATGGATCAAAGATCTACACGTTAAAATAAACATTCAGTCAGCTGGAACATAACATAAGTAAAACTCTTGAAGAGACAGATGTAGGCAAGGACCTACTTTCTTTCTTTCTTTCTTTCTTTTTTTCTTAAGGACTTTCTGAAAAGCACCCAAATTGCACAGGAAATAACATCAAGAATGAAAAAAATTGGATCATATCAAATTAAAAACTTCACATAAAGGAAACAACCAACAAAAGAGACAATCTACAGAATGGGAAAAAAAATTGGCAGCTACATCTTGGACATCTTGGACAGAGAACTATATGTAGAATACAGTATGTAGAGAACTATATGTAGAATACAGTATATAAAGAACTAAAAAAATTAGACCCCTCCAAAAAAAGACCTAATCCAGAAATGGGTAGGCTGGGAATTTAGCTCAGTAGCACCCCCTGCCTGCCTTGCAAGCAGAAGGTCCTGAGTTTGATCCCCAGTACCAAAAACAAAACAAACAAACAAAAAACCTAAAAACTAACAAAAAAGGAAAGAAATAGACAATTGAAATAAACAGATACTTCAGAAGTACAAATGAGCAATAAATACATGAAAAATTTTTCTACATCTCTGGCCATTAAAAAAATGCAAAATAAAACAACACTGAGATTCCATTTTACTCTGGGAAGGATGGTTATCATCAAGAAATCAAGAAGCCGGGTGTGGTGGCACCCACCTATAATCCCAACATTCAGGAAGCTGTGGCAGGAGGATCGCTGCAAGTTCAAGACCAGCCTGGGCTATATAGTGAGTACCAGACAGTCTGAACTACACAGTGAGACCCTGTCTCAAAAAAGGAAATCAAATAATAATAAATGCTGGTGAGGCTGAAGGGAAAAAGGAGCCTTTCTATATTGTTGGTGGGAATGTAAACTAGTAAAACCACTATAGAAACCAGTATGGAGAGTTCCCAAAAGGCTAAAAATAGAAATTCCACTCAAAACAGCCATTTCCTAGGTATCTTCCCAAAAGAGTTAAAAGCAAAATACTACAGCAATACATTCACACCCATGTTTATAGCAGCACATCTCACAAAGCTAGATCTTAGCAGTGGCCTATATGTGCATCAACAGATGAATGGATAAATAAAATGTGATTGTACTCATTGAAGTACTACTGTGCTATAAAAGGTGAATTTGAGTCATTTGAAGGAACATGGATACACTTTGAGACCATCATGCTAAGTGAAATAAATCAGATGCACAAGCGGCATGCTTTCCCTTATATGAGAAAGCCAAAGTATAAATAATTTAAAGAACAAAATAAAAGATACATAATAGGAAACAAGGAGATTAGATCTTTTGCAAAAAGGAAGGGAACCAAAATAGAGGAGGGAGAGGGTAGGTGGGGAAGGGGATGTACAAAGAATTAAGAGGCGTTACGTACATGTACCCGGCACAGGTCTCCCTGACATGGCCAGCACCTGAGCTGCCCCTGGCAAGGACTTGGAAGACCATGGTGTAAGCTATGGGCCTGCCAGGGTCAGACACAAAGGAAAGGCCATGTTAATGTCAGTGCACAGGAAGGAGTGGAGCGTGGGGCTCAGGGCCTCCTCTGGGAGCTGGATGAGGGGGACAGGGGAGCCAGAGCACCCCAGAAGACCCCAGCAGCCCCTGGGAATGGGAGCCAGGCTGGAGACAGCTCCCAGTAGAGATGGAACAACGGCCTGGCAAATGAGCTTAAAATAAAGCTTTAGATGTCTGTACCAGCCAGGCCCCACAGGAAACACTTCACATCCCCAGATTAGGGTTATTCCAGGGGGCATTGGCAGAAAGCCCAGTGACAGAGGGGAGGAGATAGGGCCCACAAGGATGGTGTGGAAGGAGCTGGGGTGGGTGCTACAGGTCTGGGGATGCCCCAGGTTGTGTCAACCTCTCCCTGCTGCAATGGGGAGGAGCCTCTGGGCTGCATGGTGGGGGCGCTGCTGCACGCCTGGGAGGGAAGGAGGGGACAGAGACAGGATATTTATCCCCTGGTTCCTCAAGGCCCCTGGCAATATCCCTGCCAAAGGCCACCCTGCTCTGCAGGGAGGTGGGTGGCCAGATTCCAGTGCCCACTGCCCCTGGCCCAGGCCAAGGCTCAGCCTCAGAAAGCTGTGCAGGCCGGGACTCCAGTGCCAGGCACCCACAGGTGCCAAGACCCCAGCCCCTCTCCACGTTGAGGCTCAGGGAGTCACAGTGGGAATAGGACCTGCAGGACAGGGAGGATGCTGAGGGCAGAGGCTGGCCCCGCGCAGCTCCCAGCCTGGCCCTCAGCTCCCAGAGGCGCGGAGGCAGGGCAGGGAGTCAGGATGGCATCCAGGGCTCCCACGGGACTGCAGGTGCTTTCCTGCCTGTGCTCAGCACTTAGTACATTGGGCTCTAACCCACAGGAGATTCAGGAATTACCTTCATTTCACAGAAGCAAGTCCAGGTTTGGGGGCCAAGTAGCTGAGGCTCCGTGGCCAGCTCTGGCTCAATCACCACTCACTTTGCTCTGAAGCAGCTTCTTCCAAATGCAGGAAGAAATGCCTGATCCAGTGGAAACACTCCCCCCGGCCCAGGCGGAGCATGCTCGCTCCTCTCAGCCTCCCTCCTGTCCACACATAGCCTCACTCCCCTCTGTGTAGTGAAGACAAGGAAGCAGCTCAGAGTGGGCACGGCCCTACCTCGCAGCACACAGTGAGCTGGGCAAGGGGCCAGGGCTTCACTGAGCCTGTGTGGCCACCAGAAGCCTGGGCACTGCCCGGGGCGCCAAAGGCGCCAGAGAGGCCTGGGCTGCCTGGTGTAGACAGATAAGGCTGGAAGGCAGGATGCAGTCACTCTTGTTCTCCAGTCTCTCCTGTACTTTCTGCTTCTGAAAGCATTGGTGGGAAAGCACCAGCCCCTGGGGATGCTGGTGGAGGCCAGGAGGAAAGAGAGGGACAAAAGGAGCCACATTCCCTGGTGACCCAGCTTCTTGGACCCCCACCTCGACCAATGGCAGCAGGACTGGGGACCAAACTCCCAACAGAGGGGCCTTGCATTGGCCCTCCCCTGCCAGGGTTGAGTGAGAGCAGATTAGGGACCTCAGGGTGACATCGCACCTGGACACCACTTGAGCGATTCTTCCTATCTGCCTCCTGAGGCCCGGGGATGGAGAAGATGCACAGGGGTGCAGTGTGCACCCTAACTCCTGTCAGTGCCCTCAGGATCAGTGTTGATGCAGCCTGAGCCCAGGGCTGGCCCCACCTCACCCCAGAGCGCACACTCTGGGGCCCTTGCAGTGTTAGTCAACTCCCTGAACAGAGCCACGCAGGGCTGGGGTCCAGGTGTGCCTGGTGCTTCAGGCTGGCGGGTGTCTCAGTGCCCCTGGGGATGCATGTCAGGAGGAAGTGCAGGTCCGCTGCTGGACAACCTGCCGAGGAGCGGGTGGGCCGGAAGGTGGGCCTTCAAGGGGGCTGTGCCACCCCAGGTGACGTGTAGGCAGCTGCTCTCTCTGGCTGCACCTGGGCACTGTGCTGGGCAGCATGGCACAGCAGCCTTGCTGTGCTGGCCTGGAAGCCCTCCCTACCCCGAGCTGTGGGCGGGACTGGACAGAGAGGGTGGGGCTGTCCCTCCACCTGGGCAGCCTGGTCACTGCTTTGCCCCACGGGGAATTCACAGGACACCCCGGCCTTGCCAGGCAAAATGGTGGCTTGAGAGGCTCCTGGGTGGCAGACTGTGGGACCCAGCCAACACCTATCCTGGCTCCTTGGAGCCTCAGAGGAAGGAAGGGGAACCGGCATTCCCTGGGGGCCAGGGTGCTCTGTCCTCCCCAGCTGTGCCCTCAGTCTCGGTGTCTGTATCAAGGAACAGAGACCAAGGGGCAAAGGTCCCAGCCTCCCCTGGATGTGGCCAACGCGAGCTCCAAAAGGCTGCGGAGAGGAGCCCCCAGGGGCCCAAGTGGCCTGCACCAGGAGCTGCACCTTGCACTGCACTCTGCAACCTTGGGCAGCTTCCTCTGTGCTCTGTTTCTTCCTCCTAAAACAGGATAATTTGTCAAAGAACAAGGCCCTGCTGCCCCCAGGAAGGCTGCTTCTCACACACCTCCGTCCTGCTAGGCCAACTCTGTGCTGTGCGAGGTGCACGGACAGACACGGCCTTTCCCCTCCACGCCTCAACCAAAGGCGGCCGTGACCCTTACTGGGTCTTTTCCACCTCTGGCTAGCAGCTGCCCCTAGTGGCTGGGAGGCTGGTGGCTGTGTCCAGGCTTGAGGGGCCCTGGGGCTCTGGAGATGCCACTCACTCCTGGTGCCGGGCCCATGTCTCCCTGCAAACACCGGATGGATGCAGTGGGGCAGAGGAGGGTCAGGTGGCCAGGGTGGGCGACCATCCCGCCCCACGACCTTGGTGGAGGTGGTCTTGGGCAACTCCAACCCCCCTGGTCACTTCTGCCAGGTGACAGGCCTCCTACAGCCCCACCCTGAGACTTTCTTTGGCTTCCACCTCCATGACCCTGGTCACCTGTCCCCCTGCCCCGCCCTGGCCACCTGACTGCAGCGTTTCCCAGCAGCCCCTGGTCCCGACTGCAGCCCAGGTCCAGCTCTGAGCCGGGCAGAGGCCCTCAGGGCCTCAGCTTCCCATCAGTGTGACGCTGTCTGGCTTCACCTCCTTGAGCCTCAGTTTCCCTGACTGTACCGGGGGCGGCGCTGGATGGGACAGGAGCACCCACCCAACCTGTCCCCTGTCCCGCACCCCAATCCTGCGCTATCCTGGGGGTCGAAGGCGCAGGGGGAGGGGGCTCCAGGCTGGCAGCTCCCATTTCTCTCTGCTCTCCTGGCCGTGCGTCTGCCGGCCACGAGGGGGCGCAGGGGACGCGACCAGGGCGTCGCCCCGGCTGACAGTGACCCGGCCCCCACTTGTCCGGACAGCAGCGCTGGCTCGGGGACGTAGGATTCCCTTATTAGGGTATGTTTAAAACTCCGAAATTTGATTATTTACTTCCGGAAGCTCCGTCCAGCCGAGAGTGAAGGTCCCCACCAGGCCTTCCGAGCAGCAGGCAGTCAGGAGGGGCGGAAGGCCGGACCCGGCGCTTCCTGCACAGGCCCCAGCGCGTGGGCAGAAATGCTGGGCGCGTGGACAACGCGGCCGCCCTGCGCTCTGTGGGGTGTGCTACCCAGGTGTGGCCACCAGAGGGCGACAAA